AGGGACCTGGGTAGCGAGAGAGTGAGCCGTTGGAAGGACAAGGGAAGAGAAGATCACCGAATTGTTGTTGTTAGTTGTTAGTTGGTGGTGGTGGTGGTGGTGGTGGTGGTGCTGCTGCTGCTGCTGCTGCTGCCATTGTTGTTTTTGCGGAAAGCCCGCAGTTTTCCCTCAACCCGAGAGATCCCTAAATCCCAAGCCAGCCAAACGGCGGTGCATTATCACGCACTTTAACAAGCGCGCACATCTACCACGTCGTCGGGTACAGAAGACTCGATCGTCGGATCGATTATTGGATCTTACCCAACTTCCCTTCTCCTCCTTCCTCTTCTTCTTCCGTTTCTCCTCTGCCACATCGTCTCACCTCATCTTATCTCCCTTTCATATTGTCTCTCTTCCGAGTGGTGGTGGGGTTTTAATTAATATTCGTTTTGTTGAACTTGGCTGGAGCTCAAAACGGGCAGCACCGGCTCTTTATAAGCCGCTTATGTAACCCAGCGATAACTCAGGCCGTGGAACCCGTCGACATCATCGGTGTCGTCAGATTTTCGATTTTTCTTTTTTCCTCCCTCTCCCCTTTCACCTAGCGAACACTGCCAAAAAAACGCCCTCTGTTCCCTTTCCCGCCAGAACTTCGCTGTCGTCAGCACCGCATCATCAGCAAGCCATCATCATCATCATTCATCGTTATCATCAACCTATCAACAGCAACCACCATCAATCAACCACACAACCGTTGGACAACCATACTATTATTGTTCCATCCACCGAATACACCCCGATTGCACCACTACCGCAGTCCCCCGTCTCGACTATCTCTTCCCACCGCCTTTACCGCCTTCTGCGGATTCCATTTTTTTCTGCCCCTACCCTTTTCGTCCTCTGGCTCTTGGTCTCTTGTCTCTTCTCGTCTCTTTAGTTCCCTCAAAACCCACCCCTCCCCCAAAAAAAACGTTCTTCCTTCTGCCACGCGCTTTTCTGTCGTCATCCACATCCACATCTCATCTCATCTTTATCTCATCTCATTCCTATCTTTTCCTCCCATCCCTATTTTCTCTCTCCTCTTACTCGCTCCACTTTTTACGCCAGTTACATCACCACCCCACTCCCTACTCCCTCTTTCCCCTTTCCCCTTTCCCTTTGTTTGTATCCTTCTCTCCTTACCCGCTTTCACTTCGTGTTCTACCTTTTCTTATTTTTTAATTTTTTTTTTTTTTTTAAATTTAATTTTTTATTTTTTATTTTTTATTTTTTTGCTATTCCCCCATCCCCCTTTTTCCGAATCTCACTATCCCGCCATCCCGCCATCCCGGTCCGCGGGACTGTCGCTGTCATTCCTGTTTGTTTATTACACATACTACCTGGGTAGAATATATTATAGCAGAGCCCGGCTGCTGTTCGACCTGTGACCAATGTCCGCTGCCATTGCTACCCGGCCTTCTCCTCGGATCGGCCCCCCGGCCTCGCGCACCGACTCGCCCATGGACCCCAAAAAGGGCCCTTGGAAGTCAGATGGTAAGTGCTGTTCCTGCCGTCGCCGCCGCCGCCGCTGCTGCTGCTGGTCGTCGTCGTGCCTTCCTTACTCACAGTTTCCCTCTATCTTATCTGATCTCATCTGATCTCATGTCGTCACCTCCTTTATTTACTACTACTGCTGCTGCTGCTGCTGCTGCTGTTGCCTCGCAACCACAACAACTCGGAAAATAAATCCCCTTCTTACACTCCCTTGACTGTATTCTTCTCTCTTCATCCACACGTCGCCACATCTTGTACCATTTCTATCTGTTGCGGGTGGCGGTTCTATTTTTATCCCACCTTGTGATTTTAATGTTTACTCACGGTTCAATATGCCGCGATCACTCACTTTGACTCAACCATTTATATCTCATCTCGTCTGATTTTCCGCTCACTGTCTACTATCTCTCTATCCCCTCTTTATAAGGAACTAACTATCCCAATACTCTGATTACATGTCGTTCAAATGTCGATCATGGCGCGATGCTAACACCTGCCCTTCCATTCTTGTCACAGACGCGCAAAGCACCACCTCCGATCAGAAAGACACGACCCAACCCAACGACGCTGAAACCTCCCAGTCCGCCTCGAATACTCGTCACCAGGGTCAACAACCACCACAGCAACCACAACAGTCAGGTTCCGACACACCAGACTATTTCTCGGGCGTCCACGGCACCACCCAGTTTTCTCTAGAGCCTAATCCCTTTGAGCAATCCTTCGGCACCCAACCTGCTGACGCCCCGGGAAAATCTCTTTTACCACCCGTTGCCGCTCTCACCTCCCCTGCCCTACCCGGTACTTCGTCAGCTGGTGGCTTCAATTGGTCCAACTCTCTTCGCGCTGGACCCCTTAGTCCTGCCATGCTTGCCGGCCCCGCTGCTCCGAGTGACTATTTTGATGGTATCGGTCGAGGCTTCCCCACCCCAAATGAGTCATCGTTGCGCACTGGGCTAACCCCAGGTGGTGGTGGCTCCATGTTCCCCGCTGCTGCAAGTCCAAACACACAAGCTCTGATGCAACAATTCCAAGGTGGAGGAGGCGCAACGCCGGCAACTTTGGATTTCCACCGTACAGCCCTGAATGCTGCGAGGAAGAATGCGCGAACTTCGAACCCTCAAGATTCCTCTGATCAACTTCTCCAACAACCCGCAAACCTGGACGCTGTCAAGTCTGAGGCACAGGTAGATCCCTTTGCGCACCATGACGCGACTGATGCTGCCAACGGACTTTTTATGTTAGCCAAGGGTGGTCAAGCAAATAACGGACAATTTTCTGTTCCAACATCACAGCCAGTTGCGCAAAGTCGACCTGCCGATTCGGGGGCCAGTATTCAGAATGGGAATAACGCTGGTCAAGATATGAACGGTGGAACATCAGATAGCTCTGGTGAGCGGACAAAATCCAATTCTCGTAACGGCGGTGGCAAGGGCCGCAAGTCCAGTACAGGGAAAAGTAATGGGCGACGAAAGGCGGACGATAACGTAAACAAGAGTGGTGTGAATAAAAAGACCAAGACGAACAATGGGACTGCAGTGGATCATAGCATGGATGACTCTGAAGAAGAGGAGGATCATAAACAACAACAATCCGAGGGTAATACTCAGAAGATGACTGATGAGGAGAAGCGGAAGAATTTCCTTGAACGGAATCGGTATGTGCTTTACCACCATTCTCCTTTCTTGGCCCTCCCGTAACCAATATATACCATTTAATTATGTGGCTAACATAACGCCCTTCTCCTCCCATCCAGGGTCGCCGCCCTAAAATGCCGCCAGCGCAAAAAACAATGGCTCCAAAGCCTCCAAACAAAAGTTGAATATTACAGTAACGAAAACGACGCCCTCTCTTCAACCGTGACGCAGCTGCGGGAGGAAATCGTTAATCTCAAAACACTCCTGCTGGCCCATAAGGACTGCCCCGTCTCCCAGGCCCAGGGCCTCAATAGTATCATGGTAAATAGCATCAGTGGCGAATATGCGCAACATCCCAATCCGTACATGGCTATGCAAGCCGCCGGGGCGCCTCCCGGTATCTCCTCACAACCAATGCCACGGCGATGAAATTAAAATTTGGGGAAAAAATAAAACAAGTGGGGGGTGGCGGATGGATTGGATTTTTATTTGGAAAAATGGAAAAATGAAAAGTGAACAAAAGGGATAGTTTCTTTCTTTTTGTCTTTTCTTTTCCTTTCCGTTCTTCTTTTCTTTTTAAATATACAATTTGGTGTTGGTTTTTCTTTCTTTTTTTATTGTTTGTGTGTTCAACTTTCGAGAACACGTGCCTGGCGATTATGGATAAGGTACGGTGGCATTTCGCGCCACTGTTATATGGCTTGACAATTTCTTCTCCCTTCTTTTCCCTTCTCTCCTCCATCTCCATCTCCATCTCCTCCATCCGCATTCCTCCTTCTACAGACTGATCAGATGGGTACCTTTCTTGTCTGTCTCTGTGTGTGGTTCACCCGCCATATCCATTCCTTCCACTCCCTTCCTCTTCTTGCAAATAATATCTAGATTGGCTGCTACACAGTAACATCTTACGTTTTTGTTTCTCTCCCTTGTGTCTGTGTCCGTGCCTTCGCCTGTGTGCTTTCGCTCTTTTCCTTCGCTTCGTTTCGCTTCTCTTTTCGTTCCTTTGTTCAGGCTAGTTTGGGAAGGATGGATAGGACGGGATAGGATGCCAATGGGATGAAATGGAGTCTCGTTCTGTATTTTTTTTCTTTTCTTTTTTCTTTTCCTGCATCTTTTTTTTTTTTTTTTCCGTTTGTGTATGTCTATGTCTGTGCTTATGCTTTTTCTGAGAGGTGATGGAGTTTTTTTGCCTTTTTTTTTCTTGTATGGCTATTGAGAAGGAGGTGGGAGGATCTGTGACAAATATTTGGTTGGTTGGAAACTGAATTGTGGGGTCTTGGGGGTTCTCTGTTGGTGATGGTGGGAAGCAAATTATGTTGGCGGAAGGGTGCGGTTCCGGGTTTAAGGGGTCTTTTGAACCCAAACCCATGGGCCGGAGAATGAGTGACGTGTTTTGCAGTGGTTGGCATTTGGTCACTTTATTATTCCTCTCTCTTTCTCTCGAAAGGAAAGGAGGGCGGGAGGAGTTCTTCGAAAGCACCCATGGATTCTAAACATTTTCTCGATTTTCGACTTTACTTTGCCCCTATTTACCAGCCAACCAAGCCAACCTGCCCTATTGTCCTTTTCATTTCATTCCTTTTCTTGTGTCTTCTTTAATCTGTTTTGAAAACCTTTCAATTCAATAGCGAAAACGTGTTTCTGAATACAAATGCAATGAACTTTTTTTTGATATAATATGATCCCTTAACTTATGGGATATAGACGTTCCTGTTTGAGACTACTTTGATTAGAGGGCAAAAGCATGCATGCAGTGAAATATGAAGAAGGCATCTTATGGGAAGCGCGTGGAAATTAAGATATAAATCATGATGTTTCTGCATATAGCCAAGAAGTAATAGGTATAAACGGGGTTCATTGTTGCACTCCGCTAGCAGGCGGGGCCTCGAATTGTACATTCAGGGCCTCTCGGGAACCACTTCGCCGTCTGAATACCTTTGAAACTATCAGAAGGCCTGGCACACCTGGTTCTCCTCCAACGTCTTCAGAGCTCTCGTATGTCTGATGCAGATCAACCTCAGCGCATCTCGGGCATACCGTCCGTCGAAGCGCAGATATTGCACTCCGGAAGCCTTTGCAAGCAGTTATTCTTACACTTGTTCCTCCGCCGATGGTCTGCAGCCACCGCACATCTCCCAGTATTGTCTGGAATCGGTGCAGCGCGTGTCTCTTCAACAGAATAGTCCTCGGTGTATTTCAGGTGCTTTTTAACGCTGCTCGCAGAAGAAATAAAAGGTAGATGTGATGCAATATTCAGCCATCAGTGGAACGGTACAAACTGGTCATTAATATTTTGGAGAGCTTCAGATTGCTCTTTGAGTGCGTCCACAAGGCGTTTTTCAAAATCCATGATAGTACTGGGTATCGTGAGAGAAATTGCCTTCTCTAACGCTTTCCAGAAGTCGAGATTTGCTGACCCCGTGGTGCGGCGTGTCAAAAAAATGAGGATCGCATATAGGTACTTGTATAGATAGATCGGATATGCATTAATGATGGGGCTTGCTGGCTATTTGAGCGTATGCATTAATGATGGGGTTTGCTGGCTATTAGAGCGGGCCATTGCCTAATTTTATTAACAAGGCTTCACATACTCCTTTTGAGGGCAAGTGCGGGAAACGGAAAAGAATGAAAAATATAAAAAAATAAAAAATAAGGAAAGGGGGGGTGGAGGAGGCAGGGCAGAAGAGTGTGCTCAGGGTGCCTCCACGTACCCTTTTGACTAATTACAGTGCCCCCTAAAGATTGACCTATGAAAGTTATAGGTCTCGGTTTCGCGTCCTCCAGCTAGCGTTGACTTAGTCTCAACGAAAACAGAGACACCTCCTGTGGAGGCCGGAGTTGTTATATGGCCGACATGTTCGCATTATATCCCAAGGCCAGAACTCGGGCGTTTTGAATATATTTTTGGCAAGGAGTCAGGGTGGTTCTGCCAGCAAATGTTTTCTGGGCGAGCCGTCCATGTCATCATAGCATTGCCGCTGAGACCATGAACCGCAACGATGCTTGTTTGCGGATGGCAAAGAAGACGCCTCTCACGAGGTACCGTCATAGATAGAGGAGGTAGGGCGCTTGCGCCGCCTCCACGTCCCAATGAGCAGGGCGATACAGTTCCTGAACCCCATAAATCTGCTGGGAGGAATCCATCACCTAGGTCCAACTGGGTTTTTTTCTGGGAGACAACGCGTTCTGTCTTTTCGTTTGGTGCGCAGTCACACGCGGCTTCAAATATATTCATTCATTGTTCGGAATGTAGAAAGCTTGCGTACTTTTATAGTTAATTGTACCATTGCTTAACTTACTATTTTACCTCACTCTACCTCAACGCTTCAGAGGCTCCGCTGGAATATCATCAGTACCCCGTTTGCGGGGATTAGAGTTGCATCCCGGCCCTCAGAGGCTGATTGCAGGAATGAATATGAGACCTTATCACCAATCTCGGTTTGTTCGGTGTATCGGATGCTAGAACGCTACATATCCATTTGCGGGAGAGAACGTGGCCATATGTTTCTGCAGGGCCTCTATTTGGTCCTGGAAATCTGGCTGAGGAAAGATTTCTGTGTCAGGCCTATCCGCCTTCTTATGTAATCCGCACCGTATATAACTTCCGCGTAGCTAGCGATCGCTACATAATCAATCAAGCAATCTATCCTTCACATTCTGAAGGTGGTAAATCCTGCCAGAGCAAAGTGACTACTTATCAGAGCAGTAATGTATTTACTCCGCACGAAGCAACTGTTTTCCAGCTTTCATTGGGAATTCTCTCATCATACCTATACATTTTAAACATCAGTGAGGAGACGCGTAAATGAGGCGACGAATACGGTGGAAATAGTTACCTGTAAGCTCTTCAACAACATGCATAAAAAGCATTTAACAGAAGAGTTATCAGTGACAAAGCTTGTGGTATCTTGATGAGGTTTGCCATAAAAAACAACTAGCTAACTTTCACAAAACATATAATATATCCTCTGTACTTAATTCGGCGATTATTTACTTGAGGTTTACTACGTACACCAAATCAGAATGAAACTTTTAGTTATTAGCAGACGTAGCTTAGTTGACAGTTGCAAACAAGACAAAACGTCTCTCGGTTCAACAGCGCGTCATCCTAACCTTGTGTTTAATAAAATGTTTAATATAACTGCCCACAACCTGCCTCCAACAACACAGCAGCAGGCTCTCAGGCCAGCCGTTAAGACATCGGGTTGGAAATAAATATCTCCCAATTTCATCTTCTCCCTTTTCCCAGCAAAATAAGGGGCTGAGGTTGCAAGCCCAGGACTCGCGGAGTCGACGTTTATCCCTTAGCCAACTCAACCCGAGCTGTCATGCTTCTGCCGCACACACCCTAGCAGTAGCGCCTCTTGCAATTGCAAACAATACACTGTGCCAGTTGAGAATTTGATATACCCGATTTGAAGGGCAAGGGGTTTTATTTATGGAAGATCTGGAAGAGGAAGCATCTTTGGGAAATTGTGGCCGTGAGGTTTTGAGGTGACGTTGGGATACATTAATTGCTGCTACTGCTGCTCCGCGTGCTGCAGTCGCGTCTTTTCATGCTATTTCATTGCAGGTGGAGAGGTTTGAGCCATAGCAGCACTATCTGCCACGCTAGTCTCTCCCTTTCCCCTGAACAATGCCCCCACCAACTTCCTCCTCCTCAACCCCTCAACCTCACCACCGCTCCCGCCGCATCGAAGACGCTCTGAGCGCGCTTGTTGATTCCTTCATACCAGCCACAACCTTCTCCCCCACCACCCGTGGCAATGAGGATGATGAAGACCTCTCCGAAACCTCTGGGGAGGAGTATGCGCGTCTTGAAGCCGCTGAGGCTGACGAGAGGCGGCATAAACGCTGCATGGATATGGTCTGGCGGATTCTGGATTCGCAGGCTGCTGGTACTGGTGCTGGCAATGGCAATCCTAATTCTAATTCCAATGCCGTGGGGATAGAGATGGGCGGTGCTATTTCAGCAGATGTTATTAACAACGCGCCAGATCTGATTAAGCGCAAGTTATTGAGGGAAAATGCGTCGCCGGATAAAGCTGTACGGTTCTCTAATCTGTATTCGAGGTTGCTGACGCAACCGGTTCTTGGACAGAAGTGGGCTATTTTGTATCTGCTTTATCGGATTGGGGAGAATGGAGGCGCTGCTACTGCTCCTGATGCTGCAAATGCTACGGCGAGGAGTGGGTTGGATGGTAATAGTGGTTCAGGTGGAAGGGTTAGCCGGCGCACGGTAGTCATGACAACTGTGGAGAGTGGGGTTGGGAAAAGGGATGGGGCGAGGAGTCCGTTGATGGAGGATCATCAGTTGGAGAATATGTTGTTTAAGGATCGGTTTGGGCGGAGGTCCGTTGTTGATGATATTGCGCCTGGATCGTCGGTTTCTGCTGTTGGCTGGGATACTCCTGCTGCGGCTGCTCGGGATGGCCCAACGGACTTCTCCAAAAATGGGAAGAATAGAGATGCCTATAGTCCCAGGTCTGCAGATAGGAAACGGGCTGTTGAGAGAAACGAGAGGGGGAAGGAGAAAGACGGGAGACCTAGTACGGGTCGTGGACAGCTACCCAGCATTCCTGACGGGGAACCAAAGTCTCAGGCTCAAAGTCAAGTGGAACAACAGCCAAAAAAGGCAGGAGTTGAATATTGCGGCGTGAAATCAACGGAGTCAGTTTTGTTGCGGGATTTACCATTTACTTTGCAAGGGATATCCTCTACTCATATGAAATTTACATCACCTACTACATTGAAGCTCCCACAGACGCTACCGGTACCGCTTGTGTCCATTTTACATACCTTGGCGGAGCCGTGTTTACTCTATCGGGGTCTATCTAGCTTTGTTGAGGAATCTGAAGGCGGTCTTGTGAAGCAGAGTGTCCGAGCCGCCATAGGGAATGAGCTTCGATCGTATCTGGGCTTAGTTGCGACTCTTGAAGGCGAGATTAGGACCGCATTGTCGACCGGTTCAGACGGCTCCGCAGAATCAACAGGACCGTTCAAGGCCGGCGTTACGTTGAAAAGATGTGTTGTGTGGATGAGAGACGCTACAATGGCGTTACGATTAATGAGTTTGATGGTCGAAGAATCAAAAGGGAAAAAGGGTGGACAGTTGATCACGATGATCCATGAATTTTCTTCTTCTCACGGTGATCCCTTTGTTGGGGCCTTTGCTGAGCGTATTTTGGATCATGTAACTCGACCCTTTTACGGCATGTTGAGGCAGTGGATATACGACGGTGAACTTTCAGATCCATATCGCGAATTCTTTGTTGTGGAACCGGAAGCTCGACCGAGCGCTGATCCACGGCGCACTGCAACGAGTGTTTGGGATGATAAGTACAAACTCGAGGACGATCTAGTGCCAACGATCATGACACAGGAGTTTGCGAAGAAGGTTTTCCTAATCGGCAAATCTCTGAATTTCATCCGATATGGCTGTGGGGACGCTACCTGGGTTGCAGCTTATTCGAGAGATGCATCGAAGGAGTTACGATACGGCGATACGGCCACTCTGGAGACATCGATTGACGAAGCGTATAAAACTACCATGGCGCGTCTTATTTACCTCATGGATTCAAAGTTCAAACTCTTCGATCATCTCAGAGCACTCAAAAAATATCTCCTGCTGGGCCAAGGGGATTTTATTGCCCTTCTTATGGAATCTCTAGCTTCGAACCTCGACCGCCCAGCAAACTCTCAATACCGCCATACTCTGACAGCACAACTGGAGCATGCCATACGCTCATCGAATGCACAGTATGACTCCCCCGACGTCCTACGTCGCCTTGACGCTCGTATGTTAGAGCTGAGTCATGGCGAGATCGGCTGGGATTGCTTCACCCTCGAGTACAAAATCGATGCCCCAGTGGATGTTGTCATCACGCCATGGGGTTCAACACAGTATCTAAAAGTCTTCAACTTCCTCTGGCGCGTAAAACGGGTAGAATTTGCTCTTGGTAGCATATGGAGGCGCTGTCTGACAGGCGCCAGGGGCGTCTTAGGTAGTGTTGAAGACAAAGTTGGCCAAGACTGGAAACGCGCCCGCTGCGTGATTTCCGAAATGAACCATTTCATATGCCAACTACAGTACTACATACTCTTCGAAGTTATCGAAGCAAGCTGGGATCAGCTACAGGTCGCCATCTCAAAACCAGGCTGCACGCTCGACGATCTTGTCGAAGCACACACCAGATACCTCAACTCTATCACCCACAAGGGCCTTCTGGGCTCCTCTTCCTCCAACAACAGCAACAAAGAGGACTCCTTCCTCTCCCAACTCCACCAGATCCTCAAAATCATGCTTGCCTACAAAGACGCAGTAGATGGCCTCTACTCGTTCTCCGTCGCAGAATTCACCCGCCGCCAAGAATTCACCGCTAAGATCGAAACCCGCACCGCCCAGGGTCAATGGGGCGTGACAGAAAAGGATCTCCTACAGCAATCCCAATCTCTCTTCCATTCGTCCACCGCCCCCATTACCCGTCCCAGCCGCTCGAGCAGCTCTGCCGCCACTCGCAAGCACGCAGGCTCAACCTCCCAGTCTCCCTCAACCGATACCCCTCAATTCTTTGGTGCTGGTGCTGACGGCCACGCAAAAACACCATCAGAACCCATAACCCCAACAGCAGCGTCGGCTCTTCTTTCCGGCGGCGAGGACCATCTCCTCTCCTCACTGCGCACGCGGCTGCGCGGCCTCTCTGCGGATTTCCGCGCGCGTCTCGTCACGCTTCTGGGCGATTTGGCCTATCAGCCTGATGTGGACATGCGGTTTTTGGGCGTGGTAATGAATTTTAACGATGCGTATCAGGTTGTTAGGAGGAGGAGAGGTGGGACAGGGGCTGGGAAGGATAGAGAGAGGGAAAGGAGGAAGATGGGTGGGGAGGGGGGGAGTAAGGAGAAGGAAAAGGAGGTGGAAAAGGGTGGTGGTGGTTGATTTTATTGGGGATGTATTACTTGTGTTCCTTCTTATATATTGGTGGGTGGGAGTTCTTCTTTCTTTTCTATGTTTAATGTGGGCATATGTGTGTCAATGGCAATGGTAGTCTCTGGCTTCTGGCCCAGGGTTTTCAACTTTCCTCTCAGACACCGAGTGCTTGTCGATGTCTTCGTTTCTTCTTGACTTTTAATCGGGATCATTGTTGCTGTGATATGATACCTCTGGATTTTATATTTATCATATATTTTCTTAATTCATTGTCTTCACACCGCATAAATATATCACTTATTAATTCATGTAATGTGGTGAACGGAGGTCCGTCGATTTGCAAGGAATGGAACGAAGGGAAAGGACATTGAGGAGAGTAGAAGGCAGGGTTGATGAGGTTTAGGATCTTCCTGGACATGTGCTTTGTAAAGAAGTCATACAGTATTAACGACTAACCATTCACCCTATCTATCACGGGGGTATGCAGATGGCGTATATTGTAGATGAGAACGCTGAAACTTCGACTTTTGGCTTCTTTAACTAGGTATAAAATGCCGCCACTTATCAAGGGAAGGTTTGACTTTGGGAATGCGGCGGCGAAAGGATGACCAACGATAAAAACTATACACTGGAACCAAAATCTTACAATCATTTCTCAAATAGTTGGGTATATCAAGGGAAGAATGAGCAAATACATAGATGCAGATTCATGACTACAAAGTTTATTTCCTTCAATGACCCCAGGTTTTCGCGTTTTGTTGATTTACCCTATGATGTATGGATAAGTGTCTCACTTCGAAGTGTGTAAAGTCAGGACAATGGGATTGGATAAGATGTCAACGGACACCAATTGGCACGGTATACCTGCTTCAATCCAAGTCTATATAGAGATGTTAGTAGATAATCAGAGTCACGATATGGAATTAAGGATCGTACCAGAATCTGAGCTTGAATCCGAGTCTGAACTTGAGCCTGAATTTGAACTAGAGTCCGAGGAGGTGTCTGATAATCATGGGGGAAATAATGTTAGTTACTGATAACAAAGGCAGTTGCGCTGAGAAGCCTACCAGAGTCGGAATCCGAGCTTGGATCAGAGGATAAGGACGATGAAGAATGATCTCCACTTTTTGTTCCGTTGACTTGTTTTGTCATAGGCTTGGAGCTTGCATCGTCGCTGTCGCTGTCACTATCACTGTCGCTGCTGCTGCTGCTGCTCGTGTCCTCCACAACAACCGTCCTATTCTTTTTCTTCTTCTTCACTGGCTCTGATTTTGATTTTGACCCAGTTCCACAAGTTGGCATCCTCCCACCAACAAAATGAAGAACCAACTCTGCCCTCCTCCTCCTTTCCAGCTTTTTAAGACAATCTGCATTTAAATCCACAGCTTCCTTACCAGCCATATCTCCTTCCCAACCGTGCGAAGCTGTTCCATGCTCCGCCAGTCGCTTCCTAAAGGATGCCACAGCATCTCTATACCCATCCTTCTCAACGTTATCCTCACTATTCTTTTGTGAATCGACATCAGCATCATCGGCCTTGATAGCTTCCGCAGCCACATCTGAAACCCTTTTCTTTGCCCCTTCACCTTTTAATCCGGCAAGATATGCAGCCAGGGCGGCATTGTAATTGGACGGTATATGATCTATTGAGAGAGCGTGTTTGAGGATGTGTGTTTCCCGGTTCTTCTGGAATTTCCATTGAGCCCGATGCTTGTGGTAGAGCATGAGATATTTCAGGGCAGGGTGGGTATGAGGAGAATCTGCAAGGGAGGATGAATGTGGTTGTTGTAGGTTTGACGCAGGGCGATTCTTCACCCGCTGTTCTCTTTTTAAGCGCTTCAGCTCTGCTTTCCGTGCAGAGGCAGCGGTAGGCTTGTGATCATCTTCAACTTCAGCTTCAAGTTTGAAATCTGCTGCATCATCATCTGATTTTGTATCCTCAGCGAAGGAGACGGAATATCTTGTTTTGGAATTGATTTTGGAGGACGCTTTTTGATCTTGTTGATCCACCGGGAAAAGCTCAATGGATGTTTTCAATTCCGAATCCGGACCCTTCCTTTTAGGTATTTTACTTTCCGCTTTATTTTTTGCTTTCCTTGCTCTTGTTTCATCGCCAGTAATCCCATTCTCCACCCGTTGTTTTTTACCCTTTGGCTCCTCATTTTTTGACGTAAGGGATCTCTTCTTGGGTATTTTGGACGGAGATAACGTATTTGCATCGACAGGGGGACCGGTGCGTGCTTCATTCGGTGAGGTAGTAGAATTTTTCAACTGTAATCCCAGCTTCTTCCAAGCTGGAATGCGGGCAGCCATTTTCAGAGTCTGTAGTGAATGGTGCCTGTGGCGACTGAATAGGGAGAAATCCCTCAATCGCGCTGAGAACTGGGTCGCAAGCTGGAGAAAGCCATCCGCAGTCGAGGTCTCTGGCCTAGATTGGTGTTGGCGAGGGAAATTCCGCTCTTCAATTTTGGTATGTTTGGATGGAAATGTGAAGGTGAAGTTTGGTTGGAAATATGTAGTAGATTTACCATGATGTATCTAATACGATCCAATACTCCGTAATTTATAAAATAGCCTGTGGATGATTCAGCTTCTGCAAAAAAATACGTCATCAATACGTTTCCACTCTCCAAGATCTATACCCCCAGTAGACCCGGTTATCAATTGATTAAACGCACACCTGAAATAAAATTGAGGAATAATTTTTAGATATGAGGCTCAGATTATTAATTTCTACTACATTACATATACATATGTATATTTCATATTTCTCTGTTTAATGCTTGAAGTCTACTTGCTGTGCAGAAGTGGAGTTGGGTCTCAGATGCGCTTTGTCCGATTGGGGCTAGCCTACTTTCGGAGCTTCCTTCTATGTCCAATGTGCCAGGCAGCTTCACCCAACGCGTTCACTGCAACTCCACCGATTTCCCATAACTTTCATCAACCCTATCCAGTCGTTCTTCACCAGTGTCCCTTTTGTATACTGATATATCACCGTTGCGCTCTTCACATTTGCCCGCTTTACCTTAATCGTTTTACTAGAGCCACGATGTCGGGTCAGTGTAATCCCATTGTCCAAGCAGATTGACTCTCCCCATCTCCGTTGGATGACAACTGACGGCAATGATATAAACAGGAAGCGCTGGCTACGATAGACACATTACTATATTTTCAGATCAAGGGCGACTGTATCAAGTTGGTTAGTAAAATTTCTTCATGGTGGAAACATCACTAAAAGCCACGGAGATAGCAAGATGCATGCTAATAATATGAGTACCGTCTATCAGAATATGCCTTCAAAGCTATCACCGCCGCCAATATCACCTCTCTCGGGATCAAGGGAAAGGATTGCGCAGTTGTACTATCGCAGAAGAAAGTCCCAGTGTGTACACCCGGGAAAACCACCCTGTCTATACGGATCAATAATTTAACGGCCATTTCCTTCAATAACAGGACAAACTCATCGACCCTTCATCTGTCACTCATATCTTTCAACTATCCCCGTCTGTTGGATGTGTCATGACTGGCTCCATAGCTGATGCTCGAGCGTCAGTATCCAGAGCGCAGAGTGAAGCGGCTGAATTTCGATACAAGTTTGGATATGAAATGCCATGCGATGTCCTTGCTAAACGGTTGGCGAATATCAACCAAGTTTATACCCAAAGAGTTTGCTACTCTCCCCGCTCTACCAGGCCACATTTCATTTCATTTCATTTCTTTTCTTTTCTTTTCTTTTTTTTCCCCCCCCCCGGGTGGGCGCTGCTTCTGACAAGACTTGTGCGATTTAGGCGTACATGCGACCACTAGGTGTTGCGATAACGTTGGTATCAGTTGATTCTGAATTGGGTCCACAACTGTACAAATGCGACCCTGCAGGCTATTACGTGGGATATCGAGCCACGGCTTCTGGTCCCAAGCAACAGGATATCTTTAACCACTTGGAGAAGAAGCTCAAGAACAAGGAGCATGCGGAGGGAACGTGGGAAGATGTTGTTGAGCTCGCCATATCGACGTTGAGCACGGTACTAAGTGTGGACTTCAAGAAGAACGAGATAGAGGTGGGGATTGTTGGAGGACCACGAGCCGATGGCAAGGAAGGAACACAAACAGAGTTCCGATCCCTCACGGAGGAGGAGATTGATGAACGACTACAGGCGATTGCTGAGAAGGATTGAAGACGCACATCATATGGTTACTTCCTCTCTCTATTGCGGATGAACCCTGGGCCGACGGAAAAATGGGTTTGGGATTATCCCAGGTGTACCGTCGATTTAAGTGAGGAACTGATTGCAACTATGATCCCCATTTGCGTAGATTTCGTGATGACTTCTTTTTGTTTCCCCCCAAGCTTTGTGCGTTTTAACATCAATGCAACCTTTTCAAATCCATTTATCCAGGTCTGCCATAACTGTGGCAATTCTATCTACGAAACCTATTTCCTCTTTTCTCTCATGACTGGCTTACACGGAATTTCTAAACGTTTCTCAAACGACGCTATGTTTAGGATCATGTCCAATCGATCATGGGCCCATTGATGATGCACTATGTTTAGACATATGTCATCTTTGTTTCTTTTTTGGCATAGTGTGCTATGATACAACAGGCTCTTGAGCCGCTTCTTCATATTTACAAGTGACAGCAGGTTTATCCGAGGCCCGAGTGAAGAAGTGCTCCTCGTGGGTTGTGGGAGGTGCAAAATGGAACATTTAGACGATGAACAGAGCATCGGCCTTGAATAATTGGGTTTTAGGACGGATCGTTCAGCTATGATCCAGGGTTGAATTGCCTCAGGGTGCGACCTTCGTATCTTAGATCGTGCATAAGCTCTCAGGTGGATTCCCTATCGGCACGCATACATCGCACAGTAGCATCAAAAGGTGCTGCACGAAGCCATCGGCGCTGGGGTCTCTTATTTTGGCCACACCGTTCGACCCGAGTCAGCTATCAACAGCCGGCGCCATGCTCGATGCAGCTAGCGCTGTCCCTAAAAGGCCAGGCCCCACCGCCCTGGGCGGTGGCGTTGGGTAAGTGTGGCTTGCCCGGATGGAGCTGTGGCTGGAGCGCCGGACAAGGACTATGATGTATCTTCGGCGCTATCGATTCTTCCTTGTCCGCTCCGCTCCACTGAGTTTCCAGCTCCGATGATCATTGAAGCGTTTGGAGTTTGACTTGCTGCGAGTCTGTGACTCTTCGGCCGGAGTTGCTTCTTTAACGTGCACTGCTCTTGAAGCTGTCGGTTCTGCAATGGTTTTGTTCCTGACAAGGAGCAAACCATTGGGTGCTCCGCTCCATTTCTTTTCTCTCGATGGATCCTCTGTGCCTCTGGTGGTTGGGACTTATTTTCCTTCTCTAGCCTATTCTCTTATCCACTTGTATATATTCTTATTTGTATTTAAAGGTGCCGCAGACGCCTCACGGCGCTGGTTAATAATTCACAATGTGAGAATAAAACCCGCCGCATTTGCAGTAGTGAACATCGCTGGCTTCGATCGATCACATGTTGGCATTTACTCTACACCCCTGGGACACCACTCCTATCATGGCTGATGGACGTGAGTCCAATTTTGCTGTTTTTAGGGTTTGGCATAGAATCTTGCTAACATCCCCTCCAGTAAACGAAGCTCGGGCACTCCGGGTCATCGAGATCATGAATGATTTCCGAACACTACAGCTTCACATCTCACAACTTAGATTGAACCTTCCTGCCGGAGAAGGTTTCGAAGAAGGATATGTCTTAATGACACAGTGCGTTGGGGAGGCCCAGAGTCTTCTCAATCAGCAATATAACGTCCAACAAACGCAAGCCTCCTCCAGTGAAGGGGATGTGAAAAAAGCGCAACTCCAGTGGTAAAGGATCTCTGAAATATCTTTGCACTAGGGGTAGTAGTCGTTAATCTAATTTCCATTGATTGACAGGGTGATTTGTGACGCAAGTGTTCGGCGCTTCCGAGCACACAAAATCTATCTAAAAATGTCTGCAGCAAGGCGATGGGTAATGGGTCGAGCGCAGGTGCTTCAAGGACAAAAGGTTACCCCATTGCATACTGTCGCTTTACGAGCGGTGAGCTGGAATTTACATAACGTGAGCTCCTTTTCCTCTGTCTAGATTCCCCATCGTCTCCAGGGCACAACCTCGAACTGACTACAATACCCCCCGCAGGATCTGGCAGCCATAACCGACAATCAAATTCATAGTGATCTGCAATCAGCCGATATCCGTGCTGGCCACTGGCTTGCTGATGATCCGTCATTGAGCATCATTTTGGACTGTATTGGCTCAGAAACCTAAACAACCTAATATTCGAAAGCAAACATCGTCCGCGGGCGATACGGTCGACTCTTGTGACTACGCCGTCACCTTTTTTCCTTCTGTGTCCGGAACGAAAACAAAAATTCTATTTTTTTAAGTTCCTGCTATATACCCCCTGGCTGACTTCATATTCATCTGGTGTAATTCTGGCATTAAACGGACTTTTCTTTTCTGGGTTTTGCCACTGCCAGTTTTTGTTCCGGATACTTTTGATATCTTTCATTCGTGTGGTTGGATAAATTATTCTGTAATGGTTGTATTTTACGAAGCTGCCCATGACTGTACACATGCACGCTCTACTCTGACCGCTATGACGAAAAAAAAGAGGGACTGGAATCCTTCTTTGGGAGAAATGCTGGCCGTTTCTAATTTCACGTATTTCATTTTATTCTAGATTGATAGATGGAGGGACACGTGGATTGTCTCTCGTTTCCTTGCAGGATTTGCCTGTTTGCGCTCTTTTATTGTCTGTTTTAATAGAGATAAAAACTGCTTTTCTATTTTTCCGATCATTATTCTGATCTATTCGCTAAATTATTTTGAGGGGACTGGGATGGGACCAAAATTTTCCTTGGTTTTACACTTATATTTCTTTTTACGGAGGAAAGGTTCGTGCATTTTAGGTACGTCAACTCGGATTTTAGAATCAGTTTTCTTTTGGGTTTGATTCAGGTGGCGAATATACCAGTCCCCTTACGTTTTGTTTTCTAATCGAAACATTCGGTTTTTCTATTGCCTTGGCACTATTTATTCTCATTTATATCTCCCAACGCTGGGGCGGCTGAGTATGGTATTTGATGCTATGGACTTACACAGGTTTTTGTTTCTGGCTGCTCATTTTCTAACAATCCAGACATGTTTAGGGTTATTTCCGATAGCTGCAATCAGGTACAGAAAGATTCTGCGCCGGCTTCTAAAGTAACCATCATCTCTAACAACCCTGAAACACAAGCAAGAGAAACTGTCCCGTCCAATCAATTTAATTTACGACAATATGTAGAAGGAGGAGGATATCCAGCTATCGATGCAGATGGCACTCACACAAACGGCACTTCTGATCCCTCATGCGTCTTCAGAACCATTTACATTTCTTCATTGACGGGCCGGGGCTTTAACTTTTGCCACTGCCACAATGGACCCTCATTCCAAGCGGGTCAATCATCAAAGATGACAGCCAAGTTGAACCAATAACAATGGGCCATCGCGTCGTTGGCTTGTCCCCAGTTCCCATGAGATGGGGGATGCGGGAAGGGTGAAGGTGATGTTGCTTTCTCAACCCTTGACAGGTTGTGGCTGGTGGCATATGTGCAAATCTTTACAGCATCCCCAAACTCTCCTTTTTTGATGGCGTATCAAGTTTTTTGTTGGAGTTCGATGTTCTTGCTGTCCATTCCCGGTGCTTGTTTCATAATTATTGGAAATATTTCCCTTTATCGCCGTACTACTGTCAATGGTGATGGCTAATTAGATTGGTTGTTTTCAGGCAGGTTCACAACCATATGGGACAATTCTGAGATTTCACGCCCTTATTCATTTCTAGATGCTGATTCAGGTATCATATCGAATCCATGGATCTTTCACTTTCACTAAGTAATTGATAGTTTTGATTGTTTCCTCTTCCATGAGTGTTTGCAGGACATTGCCGCTGCTTTCCCTTAATTTTGATCGGAGCTACCCGAGGCAGGGAGGGAGAAAGCAAGAATGGAGCGATGGAGAAGCAACATAAAATTTAGTTTGAAAAATCCCTTGCAGTGTCCCTTGCATGAACCTATCCAACCGCAAACTCAGTACCGGAACTCCCCTCCACTTGAGGGATCCAAAAAACAGGTTTGCCACATTTAAGGTAATTGACCAAAGGATCTTCGCATCTTCGCTGCTGCGGACATTGGCGCTTATCAGAATTATCCAAACCAACGCGCATGTCTGCGTGCGAAACCACGAAGCTGAAAAATAAAGGATCCCTATAAAAATGGAGAACTCCTAAGAAGACTCGGCGACATTTCCCCCTGTTTCCAGATTGAAACTCCTGGTAGTCCGGCATATGCCCACGATGGCCAATTTAGCCCTTCATTTAATTCGATAGATCCAATATGTAACAAAATTATTTTCTGTGCCTTAACCACGTCATGTAGCCATTGAATAGCGGCTAGCTGCTTGTACTTGCTGTGGATAGTACTATTGTTAGTAGATATCCAAAATGTTAGAGCCGCTGGCTATTGTAACTTCATTGCATGAGAACCGCTGGAGTGCTTTGTTATCGTTTTCTGATGTGTCACCGCAACAAATGATATACTTCGGGTCCTTCGGTCGGCGCCAAGACAGCAACGTGTCTAATTCAGCCCGCACATCCGTGCCGACATCGTAGGGGCCCAAGATTAAGTTGTGGCTGTGTGGCGGTGCAAATAGCTTTAAAGTTTCGCTGCCAAATATTGTGGAAATGTTTTGGCGGTTTGATGTTTGATTGTGGCAGTTTATTTAGTTTATAACGACAGTGATGATGGTAAGAGTGATACCAAGATCTATGGAAAAGTGGCCATTTTACTGTTATTCATGTAGCCATTCGCCCGTCCAGTTTCATTGATGTTAAAATATATGTTCGTTGACATCGATTATCCAAAGACGCATAGCAAGGAAGCGGATTGTGTGTTTCATTTTTGCTGGGGCGGGAAAAACATGTCGACGATGGGGACCCTTATCTGACTCACAGGAATACATATAATGGAATTGATATCCCTGGTGTTTTACGTATTTGGACCCTAATTGGGGTGGGCTGCAGGCTGCTGGGAGACCGCTCTACTAATCCAAAGAGCGAGAAAATGCAAGATCCATGAAATCCATTATGACGGCGAGGTGCAGGGACCACACGTGGAGACAGGGGGACTATCAATGTCGCCTATTCCTGGCCGATCGTGTCCCGTGAACAGAATATATTAGTACCGGACGCGGGAAATCGGATGTCGGGTAGCTCATGGGTTGGTTCATGGGAAGGGGGGTTTGGAGTAATGTGTCTCTTAAGCGGTTCCCCAGCCTTTTTTATTTTCTTTTTGTCAATGGGCAAAACAAATAACGCTGCTCCTGTGGCTGGTGGGCTGTTTGACGTTTCTGCCCCTCGTTGGAATAGAGCGGATGTGGGACAATTCCCCCCTTGGTCACCGGAGCCGCTGCTAGAAATATGGAATGTTGCCGGATTTTCCGTTCTGAAATTGTAAACCGGCAAGTGCAGAAAGATGCTCCATTGGATATGGGGCAATTGGTAGACATCTTTCGACTAGATGTGCTGATGAAAATGGCGACATGTAGTTTGTGGTACAGTACTAGAAATGAGACATCAATATTCTACGAGAAGTTTTTATCGTAAGAAATATCGTGCCAGGCATTAGCAAAACAACGATCCTTGGACATATTTGGAGTTGGTTGGCTCTTTGCTTCTGTAGATCGAATAGTCTAACGGTAACTGACGCCTAAAACAGTATTCTGAACCTGAATATGAGTGGTGAATACATTCAAGAGCGATCATAATCGACAATCGCCACTGCAATAGTCTGCCATACGGCGGGAATTTCCACCAAGCCAATAGTTCTCCCTCCAGCAGGCGGGGAAATATAAAAAAAATCTCAGTAGCCAATTGTAAACTTCTAGGCACGGTATATTCAAACTTGGGTCAAAAAATGATTACTCCTTAAGATGTCAAAGGATCTTGGGTACGTCGACAAGGTGTGTGGCTGGATGATTTCAACATGGATAGCTGGTTAGTGAGCGAGACGAGAGAAGATAGGGAAAGAAGCACAATTTTGAGATCGAGAACAAGCAACTAGATGTGATCAGGGAGGACAGGTTTTGTAGAATGTAGATTCGAATGACAACCTTCTGTTCTCATAAACACCCACATACCCACAGCCAGGCTATTGTCAAACTTTATACGAAATTGCGTATTGTCTTTTAAAACCAGACCGACAGATTTAAAGGACCTTGGTGGGTGACGGTTCCAATACGTGGAAAGTTTGCGGAATGGACTCTGTGGGCACCACTTTGGGCAAAAATCTGATTTGAAAGCATTGTTGCCATCGGAAATAAATGGTAAAGAAAGAAACTGGTAAAATAAAATCATGTCATAATATTGGCATACGGTTCGAAAACGCCATCTTTTTGGTTTTTGAATCTGCTATGCAGTGCTCCATTATTTTGATATGGTGTATCTATGCACAACGCAGAAACTTCCATTAAAAAAGAACCATCCCAAGGAAAAAGAAAAAAACTCCCATTTAGAACCCTAGAAGCAGAGAGAGTTAGGCCAGTTAATATGCGATTCTCCATAGCTGTTTCCACCTGGCTGCAGTGTGAATACATACTCAGAGGGGTAAAGAACCATCTGTTCTTTCCGCTATTGTACCGTTCCTCCAACGATTTCTTCACAGTCTTCTTAGCCTCCTCCCGTTGCGATACCTCCTTGAATGTATCGTTTGTGATAGCACCTTTGAGTCCCTCAAGTTCGAGCGTGTAGCGGGTGGGCATGAGGTGGTTGTAGTTGATGGTCTTGATGAATGGCTTGACCTTGCTTCGCTTTGCGACCTTTTTGGTTCCCATCCGACGGGTCACTTTCGAGGGATATCGTTCAATACCGGCAACGAGGGCATAAGGGAATGGGTGAGCTTTTGAGCCGGTGTCATATGGCTGAATTATAACCACCTGGTAATACGGAAGGAAGAAAACACAAGTCAGTTTTGGTGTTGCGGCTTTTGTTAATGCTGTCTTTCCCTCTGCAACATGATATCCCATTATCAAAACAAGCAGTCCACCGGGCCCCCCATTTTCTTTCCTGCCTTTTCCAATTACTCCCCTCAAACATCCCCGACCGCAGCCATATCCCTCCAGTAACAAATCAAGAATCAGAGTGAATTTGTCGTACCTTCTTGCCAGCATAACGTCCTCGTGTGATGATGGCCACACGGCCCACTTTCATGACTGGTTTCGCATTGTTAGCAGGACAAATTCCTCCAGAAATCTCGCAACAATACAACGGAAGACGCGGCGAAACGTACACTTCATTTTCAAAAGTCCCAGAGGTCGTGAGCGAGGTCGACTGGTGTTGTTGGTGTGCTGAATTGATGGTCTGTCTCTCTCCTCCTGACTGCTTTTTCGAGAGGAGGCGGGAAGAAGTTTGTGTGCTCAGGGTTGATTGGCCCGCTTACCGATAAAACACGCTAGCCGTATTGGGCAAGTTTCTCCATTGGGTAAGGGCGGCCTTAAGTGCCTGCCAGGTCACGGGGTATCTCCTGGCGCTGGCCTGTGTCCCGGGTAACCTAAATTGTTGTTTGTTTACATCGCCAGCCACCACGCTCAGCCGCATATCAATACATATGTGCTGGTGGAGGCCGCTTGGTATATTGTTGTTGACGACTGAAACCTTATGTTTCCCTTGAATTGTCTGATTACGGTTTTGTTGATTTTTGGTTTCCTGACCCCTGGTTTGTTATTCGCATATCTGCTTTTCCCTTTTTACGAACGCTCTCCCAATCTACTTACCCAGACATTTTCTATACTGCTCCCTCCCTCAATTCTCAACGACAATGATCGTTGTGCCATAGAGACCCACATACACATCCACGAAACGAGCAAGAGGGCCGCACGTATTTCTCCCCAAATACCTTGAATAATTGGACATTTGTGCTGTTAACCAGCGCGAAGAAGAATTAAAATGAAACCAAATGAAATAGAACCATCTCACGATCGGGAACTGGTTCTCAAAGATCACCGGCACTCTTTCTCAGAGATGTCTACCCGACCTGCTATCCCGATGTACGTGGACAGACATCATAATTCTTACGCAATCGCTATTCAATTCCATGGTTCATGTAAAAACTAACACCATATAATTGTGGTGGAGCTGTAGGTGGGACAGTGCCGACCCAGAACGAGCGCCCCCTCCACTTCCCTTGAACCCTGGTTCTGGCAGCCCCGCAACCAGACAACATATTTCCGCTTCTATACAAGCAGTGGCCGCAGCTTTAACAGAGAAGAGCAATGAAAACGTTCCAAGCTCTTACACGATTAATCCAATGCCCCTGAAATCATCGCCAGAGAAATCTCTCATCAAAGGACAGTATCACAAGCGCATACAGTCCCTTCAACCCTCAGCCAGCAGTCGAGAGCTTTCAAGCTACACGGAACGACGCTCCCCTGAGAGAAATACCAGACCCAGTCCTTTTGACGTGGATGGGGGACGATCACGAGAGAAAAGCCCCACTTGTGTAAAGACGCCAACTTCTGCTGGGAAAGATAGTTCTAGTCTTCGTGCATCGATGAACCGGTACCTCTCCAAGCCTATCCTTGGAGAAATCACTCCGCCGTCCGCCACAATGCTGGCATTGCAGAACATGCAGCTCCCAATCGAGATAGAATCTCCTACAAAAGGTTCAAGCAAAAATGTTTCTCCACGACAGCCTCACGAAGTGGATTCGTTGTCGGCCCAAATTTCGATCTTGACCACTATCGCAACTGCCTTGCAGCAAGAAATGGCACAGCTAAGCAGGCGCAGTAAAGATAATGCAACTGATCTAGTCAGTCTCAAAGCCGCGACAAATGCTCGGGATGAAGATATACGTCGCAGCCTCAAGGATCTCGCAACACATTTAACTGGCAGGTTACTCGAAAGCGAATCTTCAAGATCTACTGGTTCCTACCTCCATTCAGGTGCTGGCAGCTTCATGCTTGATAACAAAGCACACGATGCAACATCTCCTTTATCACGGAAAAACTACACTCTCCCCCGAATGCAAAGCCCAAACAGTTTCGCAGCTACTATTGAGAGGGAGTTGGCTGCCTCTCCCTCCATTTCTACAGATGGCTCCGCAAGCATTGCATTGCTGGAAAAGGTTCTGCGTGAAATGGCTACAAAGGAGGGTCAAGAGATGCTTCTAAAGCTGATGGAAGAACTAAAATCCAGGCCCAGCGAACAGAATTCTGACGGCACCATGTCAAAAATGCTTGAAGAAATTCTCCACTTGGCAAAAGAAAATTCCGGTAACCACGCCCTTGTCCGTTCGAAACTGTTTCCCGGTGACAGGCCCTCAGCTCTGGAGTATGATAATGAGTCAGGTCCTTTGAGCCGAAAGGCGGAGATGGAGACTCCCGAACGTAACAAATCCCTTGGCTTGGAAGCCAATAATGGCTCCCCAAGCCATCCTTCTGGGGTGCTTTCTGAGGAGATATTAAGCATCCTCAAAAGGGTCAAAAGTAGTGTTGCAGAAGGTGGTGGTTTGACCAACGAAGTCAAGGCACTTGTACGGGAGTTAAGAGGAGAGGTTTTGGGGATGGGAAGGGAGATCGCGCGAAAGCTAGAAGAGGCTGACGCGCAACGGATACAACCAGCAGAGCATACACCACAAGGTGCTCGAGCGGAGGATATCGCACATATCGTGGACAGCGCTCTAGCCGAACTAAGAGTGCACATGGAGCAGATCATAAGTGAAAGCAATCATCACATATCTTCTAAAATTCCCCGCATGATCGATGGTCAAGATGTGTATATGGCTGTCAAGAAGGCGCTTGAAGATCACCCTCTGCCTGAGCCCACTCCTCCCCAAGTTATAGGATCTGGCATAGAAAGGGAAGAGATCCTTGAAGCTGTTAGGGAAGCATGGGAGTCGTACAAACCAGAAATAGAACTGCAAAACTTTGGACTTGAGCGCGACGAAATTTTGGAGTGTTTGACTGAAGGCTTAAAAGCGTATCAGCATCAAAAAGAGTCCCCTCAACCAGCCATCACGTACAACGAAGTTCTTGAAGCCGTCCAACAAGGCCTTGAAAATTTCACTCCTCCACGAATCGAACCTAGCGAAGCAATTACAAAGGAGGAAATAACCGCGACAATTAGGGATTGCATGGAGAGCTTCGAGTGGCCGGTTCCTCCTGCTGTCCTTGAAAGAGAAGCCGCTATCAATCGCGACGACGTTTTAAAAGCTGTCAAGGAGGGCTTTGCTGCTCAAGACGGGCTGTCCAGAGATATTGAATTCAACCGTGACGATATTGCAGAAGCCGTAAGGGCTGGACTCCATGAAATTTCTGGGCCGCTGCACCACAACCTCAATGATCAGGTTTTGGAACAACTTCACTCCCTTCTAGGCGAGATCAAGGATGAATTCAAACAATATTCTTCGGCTAACGGGAGGGATACGGAACAAGTGTTAGATGCTGTCAAGGATGGTCTTGAGGCTCTTAGGGGCGGAATCGAATCTTATGTGGATCGTGCGTCTGATGTCACTAGCAAGGACGAGATAATTCATTCTATCAAGGATGGGTTCCATCTCCTGCAGTCTGACCTGGAAAAGTCCATTGCTGAAGCCGCTCGCGTGTCTGATGGCGGCCACTCTAATACCGTCGAGCTGCTTGATGCGATGGAAAAGGAATTTGAACATCTTCGGCAGACGATGAGTAATCTGCTGGTTCGAAATAATGCCTCCAGTGATAAGGACGAGATACTTGATACCATTCGCGACCTTGCAAAAAGCGATCATTCGAGAGATAACAACAGCTCGGAAATTTCTCAAATGGTTAAAGATGAATTCGAGCATCTGCGCGAAACCATGGCATTCACTATTATGAAACAGAATTCCAACTTTGAAAGGGACGAATTAGTTGCTATCCTCAAAGAGAGTTTTGAGGCGATTCAAGAAGAGCATAACAGGAGAAGGGATGGGACTGAGAGCATTATTTCGAATGCTGGTGAACTTCTCGATGCATTCCACGATGGTATTGATATTCTTCGATCCGATATGGAGAAGATTATGAATAAGCCCGGAGATAGCGGTTCAAGTGATGAATTTATCCATTCACTAAGAGAGGGCTTAGCCAGTGTGAGGGCTGAACTTGAAAAACTACGCCACGACCAGAGGGAGGCTGAGGAAACCCAGACTGCCCGCGGACGAGAGATCATGCTTGCGAGCGAATCCTCCATTGGCAATGATATCGAAAGTCTTAAAGTTCTTGTTACACAGCTCCAGATTAAGATAGAAGCAATCGAGCCCCACCATATTACCCCAGAAAACCCTCCAGATCTCGTGAAGAAAGACGACCTTCTTGACATTCTGAGTGCAATTAAGGAAGTACAGGACTTGGTAGTTAAGGCTGCTTCTCGTGAAACTCATCCGGCGGTGATGGATGAAAATGCCGCCAAAAAGGAAGATACCGATGCCATTGAAACGTTGCTCATGAACATGAAAGCCAAGGTTGATGAACTGGCAGAGAGCGGTAAATTAGATCAAAATCCAGGTGGAATGACCGCGGAGCGAGTAGATGCGTTGGAGGTACTCGCCAAAGAGACAAAATGCATCCTTGACGATTTTGCCGCTCATGTAGAAGCAGAAGGTGCATCGAAATCTGACATAGCGAATCTCGAAACCGTCGTCAAGGATATCTGGGTTGGGGTGGAGGACCTGAAAACAAACTCCACCCCGCCAGCAGAAGACACCTCAGAGAAGCTTCTCAAGGAAGATGTGCGAACTCTTGAGATGATGCTACTTGAAATCAAATCTCAACTTGAAGATTTTGTTCTCCCCGATGCGGAAACCCTTCCGACTAAAGATGACATTGGTGCCATCTGCCATATGGTGACAGAGTTTAGAGAAAAGGTTGAGGTAGAAAATAACCTTACAGCTCAGGCGTTTGAGTCCCGAAAAATCGAACATGGTGGACTAGCAGAAAAAATCGAGCAAGCGAAGGAGCTGATCAATGATCTGAAGGAGGAACTTAAGGGCAAGCTTACAACCAGCAATGAAGGT